AGTCGGAACGTTTCCGTGAACTTGACATTTTACTTTTACCCGACTTCTACCGAACTTGGTACATTGACAAATTTTTTGGCTGCAAACGTCACTCTCGCATGGTTTTATGAAACATAAGACCAAGATGACCTGTATCAGACCAATGGACATCATTACCGTGGCCTTGGCAGTCTGATAGAAATGGAAATGAACAGTCAATATTTTTATTTAAAAATAACTATTAAATAATGTGTTTAATCATATAGACTGCAGAGTTATACAAGGATTTCCAGCCCTGAGAAAAGCCCAAACAATACACGTAAAAAAAAATACGATGTTTTTCACGTGTCTTTGATATAGCCAATCAGCTGCTAACACGTCACTCGCCTTTCGCGCCACTCGGTCAGGTTGATGAATGAACGGCGAAGCCCTCACCATTCTCAACCCGTGGTTGTTTGTCAGAATTTTCTCGGATAAAGGCTGCTTAAACACTAAAAAATCCGTATCGCTTACAGACATTGACTTTCAAAGTTTCGTTGAAGCGGTAGAAAAACCAAAATACGAAGAAAAAAACCGGAAGTTACGAATTCAGCGACTTTGATAATGGCATTTCTCGCGGCAGAAAATCGACAACTGGAAGATTTGCCACAGGCCGATTTTGGCTGTGTCCCTGAAAGACATCTTCTTTTGGTAAGGACTGAGTCAATAACTGAGAATTTTGTATATTGAAAATTACGCCCATTGTTAAATTTGTAGTGATTCAACTCATTTTCTCATCTTGAGCCTTGGCGCAAACGGGGGTTGTCGGGCTTTTTATTTTCATTCGTCGACTTTTCTTGTCATTGAAGGGCTATTGTGTTTATATGATAAACAAAATATTACATGGTTGCTTGTAGATATGGAATTTCTCTCGACATCAACTCGACATCACTCTTTCGTTGCGTTTACTCGTGAGCTATCGAGTTGAACGCTCGAAGAGAAATTCCATACCTACGCGCGCCCATGAATTTTTCTCTGTTTATAACATGGCGGGTCATTTCCTGTCTAACAGTGTTTTCTAAGGAGCCAATATGGTAAAAATCCTTTTGTACGGCACAGCATTGCATCTATAACATCATAACGTATGCAGTTTCACTTCGGCTGGGAGTTCCCCTCGAGGTTAGCCGCGAGGTCTAGAGATAGTTTTTCAGTGCATGTAGCTCTTTAAAGTCACGAAATTAGTTTTTTAGTTGACGATAGTTCAGTTCCAACGTGATGGGATCTATGACTGACTCTAACTGAGACTTTGGGACGTCGGGACCCTTTATAAGGGCGTTAAAATTTTTTTTGTTTCTGAAATCGCACAATTTTCAGAATTTTCAACACAAAGCTACGCAGTTTTCTGGTCCTAAATTAATTGCTCGCTCTTAATTCATCCTTACGTATTTTCTCCAATTAAGAACCACCAATTCTTATCACAGGAATAATCTTATCGTGATCCTTTCAAGGAGAGTCGATTGGATTACAAAGAACTTGCTTTGTGTGATGCGGTTCATGTCCCGCAATGTTGTAGTGAATTCACCTTTGACTGTTAGATTGGACTGAAGAATCTTTAGTGTGTCTCTGCAAGGATCTAGTTCTTTAATCTCAGGTGATCTATGCTTGAGGGCCTTGAACTGGGCATCAATGTCTCCTATGCGGATTAGTACGGTGTCTTGATTAGGACCTGACCTTATCCTCTTCACTCGATGTAGCTGTTGTGCTGTCTCCTGAAAATAAATGTAACCATTATCTGAGTCACTGCTTATCTCCTCGGTCACTGTTGTTCTCTTGATTCGCCCTCTCTCAGTCCCCTTAAATCCATCTTGATGTGGAGCTCCGACTCTGCAACATGACGCATAATGATTGCACTTGCCACACTTTCAACACTGTTTTCCGTATGCTGGGCAGTTTCAGCTCGGGGGATGTGTTCCTGTTTTTCCACAGTAACCACAACTCTTGCTTTCCTCTTTCTCTTATTTGTGTTCTTGTTTTCTGGGAGGTCACAGTGGTATCCTCGATTTTATTCTTCCATCCCACCGGAAGGTCTTTTGATTGATGCTCTACCTTCGATATCCCGAAATATTCTTTCATGTCTTTGACTTGTTGATCGATGTCTTCTCTTTGGCTTGCTTTCTCGAGGAATCGATCTAGTACCCATTTCTTCTGAATGTGTCTTTTCACGAGTTCGTTGTCCTTGATAGTCTGTATAAAATGTTCCAGTATCCTGTCTTCTGTTTGTTCCTCAAACTCGCAATCCTTTGATTTTTCGCGTAGTCGCGCCGCGTATGCGATAACACTCTCTCCTTCGGTTGGTCTTGCTAAACGTTAATCTCGCACGATGCTTGTTTTTTTTCGACAGGAAATAAGTTTCCTTTACAGCTTTCTGTAATCGTCATCCCCGTCCACCAGCGCTGTATCTGGTAAGTTGTGTGCAAATTTTTTGATTTCTTTGCCGCCATAAATCTTCCGGGCACTCGCGCAGTCCCTTGTTTCTGTAATCTCAAAATGCGATGTTTCTTCGTCGAGGTCCTCCATCCACTCTTTCCACGCTCGCCCAATTTCCTAGGGGTTTTCTGGGATCTTGAATGGTTCTATCTTAAGTGATTTCCCCACGCTGAATACACTTATTTCTGCCGGATTCGGCAGAAAGGTACGTAAAGGCCTATTTGCATATTTGCATATTTACACACTTTGACACTTCCACACAACCACACTACCACACTACCACACTTCCACACTTCCACACTACCAAAATTCTACACTACCACACCTCCACACTACCACACTACCAAGTTAAGATAAAGGTGAGAAAGGTAAAGGTTCTTTTGCAGATTTCCAGATTTTCAAACAAAGCAGCAAGTTATTGCAGTGAATAAACGAAAACATTATTCAAAATCTAAAATAATAAATTTTCCTTCTGTTCCTCAACATTGAGTAATCATTCGTTGGAGGTGATCGAGGGAATTTTGGAGTTTCTAATAAATCATGATTCGAAAACGGAATTGTTTACATTCAAGTGCGTGTTTCAAGCGAGCGCCGATTGCAATCAGTAAATTGGGAAGCATGTTAGTGAATGTTCGCCTCGTTATTCGCTTGATGATACATGTGTTTCGATGCCTTGTATAAGTGAGATTTTCCTTTCTTTCAGATTCATCAACAGCTTAGATCAAGCAGATCTACTGCTACCACTCGTTATTCGATAAATTAGCGAAGTGATGCGGTGTGTGTGTGTGTGTGTGTGTAACATGATAGCTTTTTCATTATGTAAATTTTCCGGTGTCGACTCGTCGCTTTTTCAAATCGAAAAGTTCCTTGTTTTACCTAACAATGTAACACAAAAGAAACTTATAGCACTGAATAGCAAAGACACTTAAATCGCGCATTTTTTTCGATCGAGTGCGCAGAAAAATCGTATATGCACGTCTGACTACCCTGCGAGCGTATGAAATGCGTTAGCGTAGTCAACGTAAATCTAAGCGGTATTGTACACTGAGGCCGAATAATGGGTAAAAGTGAAGAACAGTTCCCGAAAGATACTGTCGGCCGACAGTTTTCGTTCTGTTTCAGGCCAACAGTCGGGTCGTAAACTGAAATGATTGTAAACATTTACCTATCTATTGCTTCTAGAACTACATGAAAAATGGGAAACTCATTCCAAAAAGATACCTTGCACTGCACTCTCAATAGCTACTACGGCTTTTACCCACTTTTTTTGCGTTGGTTAGCGAAAATTCCCAAAAAATTCCCAAATTGGTTGGGATATAAATAACGCTGTGGGCTCACTCTATGTAGAAATAATCGACAAGAATCGATCGTATTACAAATGCACGATTTGTGGCCGGAAGTTGTCGAGGAAACAAAGACTCAAAACCCACTCTGAGCAAGCTTGGTTGCTGTGCTGATCGATTTATTGTTACACATGACCCAAGCGACGATCCAGGCAATAAAAAGTGGAGATTCGATGCTAAAGGCAAGCCTTCGCACTCAACTCTTTGACAAAGAAAGAAACTTTAACGGAAACTTGAAACCTATAACAACGCAGATGAAAAACGTCGGTCTGGCGTTTTCAATTTTGAACCCTTCTTTATCTCGTTAACACAGTAACTATGAATTTTGAATTCCAGTGTATGCAGTGAAGATATGATTGGTGCAAGTACCAAACAGTTGCCTTAAAATTATATTTTGAAATAAAGAACAACAATACATTGGTAGTTAAGCTTGAATTCACGAATAAAATAGGAATAAAATATGACTGGTTATTACACACACGTCTAGATGCAATATATATAAAACAGACTATTTTATCACTATTTTACTGATGTAGGAAATAAAATAGGGTTAAAATAATCTGTTTTGCACGTTATTTTTCGACTTGTTTAGAGAAAATACAAATACTATAGTTCACAATATGTCTTACATACCTTGAACTATGTGATATGGCAGAGTGCATAGTCAATACATAGGCACTGTTGAGCACAACGTAACTTAAACATAGTCGGACATAAAATTAAAAGAGTGGCAACATAGCTTTTGCATATGTGTGATTCTACAAGGGTGGTCTCGATTTGCTGCGCCGCGAGCAACTCTTCGATAAATATCTGATGACTCAGACCAAAACAAACCACTCCGTGCACTTTTTTCCTGCAGTTTGCATCACGATAATTGTCAGATGCATCGAAACAAAATAGATTGAAGAACCGCTCCATAATTGACCTAGACTTTAAGGCAAAGTTGAAAAAAACATACCGAACGTGTCATGTCTTCTCTGCCCAAAATTTCGCCTCTATCACTCCTTGATGACCACCACCTTGAGTACACGCCAAGATCAATACCTATAAACTAATTTCCAATAGAATTATTGGTATAAAGGCGAGTAATAACGAATAAACAGCGAACATTTCAAATTGGATGGGTGAAAAGATATCTTCCTGTTTACGTCTTCGTTACCTGTCATTGCTGGCGTCACGATTAAAAATAGTCTGGTTGAGAGCGTTGACGAATAGTAATAAGCGACACAATTCTTTATTACGATAAGCAAGATCGGATGAAAATTTTCAACTTCTAAAGAAAGAATTCCGTTTCTACGACGTCTGGGACAATTTGCACACAAGTTTGCAGGTGTATTTCTCTTGGTAAGTTACGAATCGTTTAAGACAATGAAATACAGTACTGTGCAAAAGTAAAAGCGAAGTGTTCGATCGATGAGGCGACATTGCGCTGCTCGGCGAATTTTTCATCACTCTGATAGTGTCTGAGTGAGTGTATCATTCTATTCGAAGTCTGTTTAATCAGCGTGAAAAGGGCAGTATAATGAATTTAAGCCAGTTTCGCTACATACAGAGTCGGCTATGGTCGAAGTTTGCCACACGTTCGCTGCACATTAGTTAAGCAAGTTCGCTACTGCACAAAATAAAACAATTATAAGAAAGCCTATATTCATTTTGATACTATCGAACAAACGAGAATAGCGAGAGCGAAAAAAAGACAGCTTGTGAAAACGGTACTAAGGGAGGGTGCAAGTTTACTTTTTTTAACGCGTTGCGATGTGTTATTGCATCCCCATGGAAACCAATATGCATTTGCGTATAATGTACCCGCGGGATACTACCGCGTAATCATGCCGAAGGTTACTTCACATACGAGAAAAAAAATTGCTTGTCTCCATAAGGAGAACAAATATTGAAAGCCTTGAGACGCGAAAATCTACAGGATCATCAACAAAATACAGAAAACTGGATCCACTGAAAATCGCCTTCGATCAGGAAGGCCGACAAAGCTTCCAGTAGATGCGAAAGCTTTTATTGAAAAGCAAATGTGTATAAACGACGAGGCAACAAGCATACAGATTCCAAAACAACTGGCCAAGCGTGGAATCGTTGTGAACTCCTCCGCTGTGCGAAGATCGCGAGCCAAATAGGGATGGACGCTGCAGCGCATCCATTACTGTCAACTGATAAGAGTAGCTAATAAGGTGAAAAGACTAGAGTACGCACAATAAATCCTGGATTCCGGTGATGCATTCCATAATGTCATATTCTTTGATGAATGCTCAGTCTCGCTGGAACAATACAGACGTACATGCTACCGAAAGGTCCACGAGCCATTCAAAAGAAAACCGAGGACTAAACATTCACTTAAAGTACACGTATGGGAAGGAATCAGCAGAAAGGGAGCTACTAAAGTGTGCATATTCGATGGTATAATGGATGCAGAACTGTACTGCCGTATTCTGGAGACAACCCTTCTACCATTCATCAATCAGACGCTACTAGACCACAGATTTGTGCAGGATAATGATCCCAACATACGACAAGATGAGCGAGGGCCTTCTTCGAGGAGAATGATATAAACTGGTTGCGTACTCCCCCAGAGAGTCCGGATTTAAATCCCATCGAGAACTTAGGAACGAACTGAGAGGGTGACGGAAGAGAAATTCGTTAAGTACATCGACCATGATCTCAAGAAAGTCGTGAAAGTTGCCTTTTATGTACCCTAGTATTTTACGCATACAAAACCTTAAAATTGTTGATAAATTTAACAAACAGACAAACAAGAATAATGGCACTTTTATGACCCGTTCTCTTAAACAATAGACTACTCATTTTTTTGTGCGCATAAGACCAAAACTGAGACAAAACTTTGATTCAATTGAACCTCGCCCTTCTCAAAAAAACAGTATGGTTAATTAAGGCCTGACAGAATCGGGCATCGATATTCCTTGTTTCCTTGCTTATTCTTTGCAAGTGCCACAAAAACTAAAGCGTGTATCCATATTTCATTAATCTCAAAAACAAGAATTTTAGCACTTTCAAATTACCCGTCTACTCACATAACAATCAAAGGACTGAAATTAGCCCACGGTTCCATTAACTCTATCAAAGTCGCTTTATCACGCCTTTTGTTCACATCCTTTCGCGTGTAGTTAATTTAAATATGAAAAGCTCTCCTGAAGCCTACGCCTCTATTGTTATGGAGAACAAACCACCAAGTAGGAACCAGTCATCTGATAAAAATCTCGATCCATCTACGGGCTTCGACTGCTATAGGAGGGGAAAGCTTAATTTATTCAACATAGATAGTTTTCATCATAGCGCATAGAACAAAAATGGAAAAAAATCATTGAAGAAAAATCGTTTCAGTAAAGTGGAGCCGAAGTCGGTATTCTGAAGTGTCTCCATCGGACATAGCTATAAAAGGTATGCTAAAGAAAGTTTGTTATTTTACTTGGATGAAATATATAATGTTCTTCAACCAAATCCAAATTGTTTTTATGTTGTTTTGTTTTGTTTTGCTTTCATGATCTGTATGTTGTACTGGTAAAAAACACCCTCCCCCACCCCCTTCCCCCCTTGCGCTGCGACAATTAATACTTTGTTTTTCTGAGGTTTTTTTCGGTTTTTCTTTTCTTTTTTAGCTGAGGTGATCAAGGCCTGTTCTTACAAGTGCCGCAGAACTGACGAAACGAGCTGCATGTGGGATACGTGCAAAGTTAGCACCAGAAAACGCTGCCAGCATTTGCGAAAAAATGAAAAGGAAAAGCGTCCATACTAAACTGATCTTGATTTACCAATTTCATCCTAAGGCGTAGTGACCAATACTTTAATAAAATCATTTATTTAATTAAATCATTTGTTTAATTAAATCATTTGTTTAATTAAATCATTTGTTTAATAAAATAACGTCTTTTTTCGAAAATTAAATCTAAATATTTCCCTTGAGGCCTGGCTCCTTTCACAATGCTGCAACGAGCTTCAAATAAAGCCCCATTTTAAACTGGCTACATTTAGTATAATACACGTACCTATTGACTACCCTTTCATTGAATATTACCTTTGCAGACGCACTTAAACAACATTAACAACTTACATATAGCAAAACATAATGGGGGAGGAATCTGAAAAAACTTATAATTATTTCGCTTGAAGGAGATATAGAAGACAAGCATTTCTTGCCATGAGAAAACTCGCTGAGGCGATACATCGCCAGAACGATATATCGCAATGAATCATTCCTGATTCAGCGATAAATCGCTGGAACGATATTTAACTGAAGCGATATATCTTGATGATGTTCTGCACGCTCTACGATATATCGTTTTAGCGATATATCGCCGGAGGGATGTATCGTTGAAACGATTTATCGTCGGAACGAGATATTGCAGGAGAGCTCCGATATCTCGTCGATTTATCGTTCTTAAGGTATCAAAGAGATGAACGATATATCGGTGATATATCGGAAGAACAAAGCGCGATAAACAACGATAATCGTTTGCATTACTTTTGCACAGTACTGTAGGAATAATGTGTGTCAAGTTTTGGTTTTGGCTCCCCTCTTAATACTTAGGCTTCTCTATGCGGTCGAATTTTCGTGTCAACAAATTCACAATTGAGGAAATATAGTAGAAGTAGAGACCAGGGAGCATATGGGAAAACCGAATAGGGTATGAGATCCGCCAGCGTTTCTTCCGTAAACCATCTAAAAAATGGCTTAAATCGCAAAAGAGAAAACCTCAAAGCCCTTCTTTAATAAAGGGAGTAAGTTTCCCAAATAAACTGTGGTGCTGCGTCAGATTCTCAACACGAATATCTTCTAGGACTTCTTGTCAAAGGAAAGTAAAGGAAATATGTCAAGCTCAGAAAAACAATATTCGCAAGTTTCATGAGGAGATGACTCAGAGTGTTTGTCTAGCGCCTCAGAGGGTAGTTTTGTTTCGGCAATAAGGGTTTTGCACCATACGAAGAAAGTGTCGAACCGACAGCAAACGAAGGAGAAGCTGGGCAATACGCGATGTAAGTCACTGTAGAGGAGGAAGAAGAGGAAGAAGATCTTCTCCGAAGATTCTTTGGTGAAGTCGACGTCAGAGAATGGTTTGTAGCTAGGCTTTTTCTATTGTATAATTTTTTTGTATTTATTCGGAAACGCGCAATTCTAATCACCTATATGGACCTCATTTACATTTACAGATTTTTTGCGATCTGCGGCCTACAGACAATTTGTACGTATAGTTTGGGCATATGTTGGCATGTCAAACAGATTTCCTCTTCCTTGCTGTGTGTACAGTGTAATGAGATCTGCCTTTCCCATAGCTGAAGATCAGTATCATAGTTATGAGGAAGAAGATGAGGATGAATTATAATGTAGTGAAGTATAAACACTTCATTATTTTCAATGAACGGATGACGTTACTCGTTTCAATCTTCCAAACGGATGATAAAAGTTGTTTTACGGGAAAATTGTGAGGTTCCAACAAACATTGTCATTCAAAGACTAGGTTTCACAATATTTATGTCCTTACTGTTTACTTGATGTTGTCGCGTTTGGAAAAAGTTTACAGAAAGTCTATATGTAAATAGTCATGTATTAAGTAGCAAAAATAATTTTGTCACCTGAAAACTGTTGTTTGTTTTCTAATCAAGTGCTCAAATGCAACAATAACGCTCATTAATTTTTCATAACACAGTTGAGTGTAGTTTTATAGTTCCACATTGCATAAAATCAAAGCCATACAATAACCAGGCATGATAGTTGACTTCTGAAACAGGTTCATATCAAGTGATTCAAGTTGCAGCTCTCACTCCTGACAGGAGATAAACAAGAAAGTTTTCATTTCAGGGAAACCTGTTTATTCCCCAGGGCCTGGTTGTTCAAAGATTGGATAACGTTATCCACCCGATAAATCACTATCCAGCATATGTGTGTTTTCCTTTCGCGAGTAGCAGCAGTTGCAGCAGGCTGAACATTGCCTGTAGCCCTGCAGGGAAATTAGGAAAAAAAAAACAGTTTCATGGACTGATCGATCATTTGAATGACTGATTGTTTCATTATTTGATTGATTGATTCATTTATTTGTTTACATTTGTTTACTCAGTCAGTCTTTATTTCTCAAAACATAATATTTTGTCCTTCACAAAATAAGCAAGACCAAAAAGGGCATTTCCCTCTAACCAGAACAGGTTGGAGGACAGATAACTGTTTCTTTCTGCTTTCTGGAATGGAACTTTTCAATGGCCTCTTCCTTGTTTCTTTGCTTTGCAGCATACTGTGCAAAGCTTGAGGGGTCTCCCTGCCCAACTCCTCTTTCACAGCCCCTTAGCTTCCCTCGACGATGAGATTAGTGTTTCGTGGATTTCAGCCACATACTCTGAAAACAAAGTGACTCAGAACAAATATGCTGGTTCACTGTATGCTCAATTTTTTTTTGCTACTATGAAATGTTCCCTTATATTGTCTTATAATACATTACAGTAAGTTCTTTTTTAACATGAATTTCACATCTACCAACCTTTACAAGAACAATGTGAATAATAAGGCCTACTGTACAGCAAAATATGGTGTAAGTGCCATACTTTGCAGAATGGCCCATGCTGTCATGACGGCCATCGCCTGCCAGTGTAACCACAATGTATCCTTCTTAGGATCTCTAACTATTCTCTTTAGCTTTTTTCCTCTCTTTCTTCAAACTTTCCCCCTCAGGAGAGCTGGAATAAGGTGTTGTCTCCCAAGTGATATCCTCCATATCAGGTACCTGATAAGAATTACAATAACCTCGCCAAAGAACTGCGTGCTTGCGAAACGCTGAGAATTTTTAAAATTACAACTTTTAATAGAATCAGATAAGGCACAACACAAATGTAATGTATAAGTTTTTTATCACTGTAAATATTTTTTTGATAATTTTTAATTTAGTCTTAACTTGTATCGATGGTGAATTGCATTTTTAATAGCATTTTTATGTACTGATCACTGATTTATACCCATGTTTTTTATGATGAATTCGCTGATCGGTTTTTTTCAGTTAAAAAAAAACATTTATTACAACAGATAGGAGAGATATTAATACCAAAAATGACAAGGGTTTGTCTTCTAAGATATCCGTTAAATAGACACCTCTTTGGGAGTATTAGTCTCCGTCAGATCCCTCTGACAGCTCTCATCTATTAAATTTGATGAGATAGGTCCATCTATCTGCACACCAGTTACATTCTGCAACAAAAATGTGTTCTTGTGTTTTTGTGTTATCTTGAAAGTATGACGCTGAAGTCATTTAGCCAGTTGGTGAGAAATCTACTTGTAAGGGAAGTATGAATATTATCAAAAGGCAGAGGATGTAAGCTTAAAAGCAGGATACAGATATATATTTTTTTTTCAATGGAAAAGCTTCGGCTGGCAACAGCTACATTGTAAATAATTTGTTTGGTGTAATTGTCACCATAGGCCAGAAACTCATTGAAGTATCTGATGCAGCTACCCGGGGAATTCAGTTTGCAAGCAAAACTGCTTTCTCAGTATTGTTCAATATAAGTTTCATCTAAACACTAGGAAAACTTACATTGTCACCATCAACACCATCAACAACAAATACGGATGACGTAGGGCCAGCCATCGGTGGAATGTTACTGCGCAAGAAACTCTTAAGAGACAGAATCTGATGTATAGTTAACAAACAGTTTACATGCACTGGTATATAAAATACAAATATTATTTAGTGACATAAATTCAAAATGATCCTCGTTAGATCTGGAGCCTTGCTTGGAGCCGGACTGTAATCGTCTTTATCTATGATAATGACAGAAGCATAGTTCAAATGATCTCCCAGTTCTTTTTTTATCAACAGACTATGTCTTGTTCCCAATAGGGGAAAGTAAGTCACTGATCTCCTAAGTGAGAAAAAAAAATACCGTGAATTTTAAAATGTAACACGAAATGAAGTGTAATAGTGAAGTACACTTGCAAAACAAGCACAAAGTTTTTTTTTTTTTTTTCAACCTCGCGAATCTTTAGCAGGTAATTTAGTGTTAACAACGGGGTTGAAAACGTAAATTAGCCACCGTAAAGAGTAAAAAAGCTGACGTTTCGAGCGTTAGCCCTTCGTCAATCGCTCTGACGAAGGGCTAACGCTCGAAACGTCAGCTTTTTTACTCTTTACGGTGGCTAATTTACGTTTTCAACCCCGTTGTTAACACTAAATTACCTGCTATACTCTCCCACCGACGCAGCACCACAGTTTCTTTAGAAACTTACCCCTTTATTCATTCGCGAATCTTTAGTTCGGTTCAACCTTATCCACCAATTTTTCCCTAAAGATATCGAATTCGTTAGACCTACTGTTTATTTCCTAAATTCTGGCATACATCACAAAAAAAACTTACTCAGCCCTGTATCATTTTTCACTCGTGGCATTTGAAATAAAACATGCGTTTATTAGCGTTTCAAGCAAAAGCTTACTTTAGAAGACACCTTTTGGGGAGAAGTATTTCAGAGAGGGTAACATACATTGATCAAAAATTCCACGTTAAATCTCACGTTTCTACTCGCAGACGTATTTGACATCTAAACTACTCTTCATTGTTTTACTTCCCAGCTATTTTTTAAAAAGACGATGATGATTTCGATCAGTCGGCTACGACGAACTATCGCCTTGAGCATGCTCCTTTTTAACATCAGTGGAACAACGGGATATCCTTCGGGAATTGAAATTGTAAATGCATCATTCTGTGGTGAGTGTCTCTCTTTTGATTTATTTTTAATCCTCTTTAAAAGATATTCCGCTCTCAAAAGCTGTTCAGGAATAATTACAGAATATTATTAGAAATCGAATGGGAAGTGAAAAATGAGAATTCTTCAAAGGAAAAAAAAATGCTAATTTGCTTTCTTACAGCTACCTGGAAAGACTTGTATATTTTGCTGAACTAGAATGAGATTTTAGATGTGAAATTCATGCCATTCATGAGTTGATAAATGGAGAAAGAGTAATTAGGCGCTACGAGGAAGATTCCCTTCTCGATTAATCAACTACTTTGGAGGCCTTTAATGATCTTTCCAATTTCCAATTTTTCTGTTTGTATTCCTCATTTCTGATTTCCGATTCCCGGGTTTGACAATTCGTTCTCCACTCTTAATTGTTTATCCTCGATTCCAAATGATTTTCTTTTCACTTTCCATTACCTCCCCCCCCCCCTCCTTATTTCAATAAACCAGCTGCCGATAAGACCATTCATTTTTTGAAAAAGTCCACATTTTTTCCGAACAAAATGAGAAGAGCCAGGCCATTGTAATGTTCCATACAATTCTGTTTGTTCTGTTTGTGGGCCAGGAAATACGTTATATTAGAAAGACAGGGACTGAAGGACCAGTCATTATTTATTGCTTGTTGGGGGGCTAGTTATTATGTACCTGATCCCCCTTCAAGGCTCTGTAATATTCATACGATCTCTTCTCATTGGCAGTTAATTGGAGGTTAATTTTCTGCAATCCCCCTTTTATACACCTTTATACAACTTTAGTGACAACTGATCCCCATCTCCTCCCATGTGATCCCGCTCAAAATCTTCCACTCCAGGCCCAAAAGTATGGAGAAATAAGAATCATATCGGCCGTTTAATAACTAGTGACTGAACAGTAAATTGTGCTTGTTTCTCTGTAGTCTAAGGTTTTAAAAACTTTTAGCAATTATTTATTTTTGTTCGGGGTTTCCCCAAAGCGTCAAAATAACATTGAAATTCAAGCTTTATTGTTCCATTCTTTTTTAGGAAATTATGATAAGCCTCCAACGTTTAAAGTTTCTCATTGGCCTTTCATTCCCACTGGTGTTCTTGTCAATTTGAGTGTAACATTTACACCTGGTAAGTTGATATCAATCGAATACGGAGGAGTTATTATATTTTAATAATTTTGATATCAAATATGATATTGTAAACACTGGGAGGGAGGAGAGGCTTATGAAATTTCAAGGCTTCGGGGGGGAGGGGGGAATCAGAGGAGAAGCTTTTCGGAGGTGGGGAGGGTCTTTGATTTAGTTTTTATTCTCGTTTTTAGCCGAATGCACTTTTCCGGTTGAAAACTTTCGACATTCAGAATGTGAAACAATGGAGTACTTCAGATACAACTTTTTTTCGAAAATGAAAGTGTGCTTTGGGGAAGGAGGGGAAAGAATCGCTCAGGGGAGGGCCTTAGTAGACTAGTTGGAAGGGAGGGGAGGGTGCTACTAGAAACGTGAAAGTCCACATGGTAAATTTATAAGAAACAGAGGGAAGGGGCCCGGCGGCCAAGAGAGACGGGCTGTTGCAAATCCATAGAATATAGAAAAATGAAAAAAATAATGATAAAATAAGAAATTGCAAATCCTACCAGCATGTAAGACATGTAAGACTAACGCATATCTCGTTTGAACCTACTGTAGGGTCCAATCGAGTTGTTTTTCATAGAACACTCCAAGATTTGATCCTTTTGGTGGTGGGGGTAATCAGATTTTCTTTTGGAATTACACTCGTGACAAAAACTTTTAATATTCTTCTTTGGTCAACGACCAAACCATTAATCTAACCCCTTTCTTGTCCAGTTGACTATGGGTGGATGCTATGAAGATCCAGGATTTGAGAATAGAAGATTTGGGTAGGCGCTGAGAGCGATCGCCAGCAAGGGGTTCTAGGGAAAATTTGGTTTTGAAGACCTCGGGAAAACACCCCTCGATGTACAACAGATGTAGCTCATGTTGTATTACTTCCTTTACACAAGGTTCTTCTAGCCGCTTTCTAACCGATACTTGCTTCTAATAGTGGTGAATGTTTTGGAGGCGATCTTACAATACGAATTGGTCTCAGCAGACGGTGAGGTTGTTTTCAGGAACAGATACGACCGTGTATGCATTTCTTCCCCAGATCTGTGCAGCTTACCTGCTGGTGGTAAGTCTCCAAAAGAGAGTGAAAACAAACAAAAAACAAAACAACAACAAAACAACAACAAAAACAACAACAACAAAAAAGAATTAAAACGGGAAGAGAAAAAAAAAACGGGAAGGGGACTAGGAGAAACTTTTGCACACATGGGTCTTCTTACCTTTTCAAATATTTCCAAAGCTTACCGAGTACTCCGGTCAACAGATCGAAACTACAGGTTCTGCATTTTAAAAATTCCAACCTAAAACCAAGGAGGCTTTTTCCATCAACTGGGAAAAACCCATTAATCATTTCAGTTAAATAGTCAATGATGTCAACC